CTGCAACACACAGTCACTTGGACACGGGGGAAAGACCGTGGGGTTAAAAATAAAAGAATGCCAGGAACAAAACCCAAAAAAGTAACGCGGAGAGGGGAAAACACATCCGTTTTCTTCCCGAGTGGCCAGATTTTGAGTGAGCGAGCGAGCAGCCAGGATGGCGACCGACGTCTGTGCCGCTGGCCTGCCCCCCCACCCCCAGGACTACCCACCAGTTCAACAGTTCCACCTTGTATTGGTTTCGCGCTCTCCCCCAGCATCGCGACAGCGTGACACAGGAACAAGCGGGCCGGCGCAGGGAGGCCTCTTCGTTTAACCTCTGGACCCAGCGCACACTTCCCCAGCTCGTGGGGACTCCCGGAGACCTCTGGCCACACGGCCCCCGCTGCAGGCATCAAGGACACACCCCGCAGGGGAAGGGATTTCCGGCGCTACCCACTAAGGCAGGATGGACGGTGGCCGGGGGTTGGAAGGAAAAAGGAGGAGGAGGAGGGTGGCAATTCCCACTTGCCTGCTGCTGTCCCTGCTGTGTGGGTGGAGGCTGGGGGCCGCCGGGACCTGGAGTCTGTCCGTAGTAAGCGGCCTGCTGTCTGTAATATTCAGCCCAGGCGGCACTGTAGTCTGGCTGGGAGCCTGGGGGTGCTCCCGGACCCCCTCCGGTGGCCACTTGAGCTGCGGGCAAGCAGAGGGTGAGCGAGTGAGGCCGGGAGCTGGAGAACCTGGACCCAGCACTGCCCCGCCCCCAGAGCCCCCAGCAGCTCACCCTGCTTCTTGTAGTACTCCTCCCAGGCCTTCGTGTAGTCCTGTTGTGGCGGTGCTCCGGGCTGCTGGGGCTGCTGGCCTGCAGGAGGGAGGCGGCGGGAGGTCAGAGGACGGACGGCACCGGGACCTGGCTGCCTCTCACCAGCCTCCGGCCTGAGCCCCCGAGGTCGCCCGCACGCTCACCAATCTTCTTGTAATACTCTTCCCAGGCCTTAGTGTAGTCCGACTGGCCGGCGGGTGGGGGCTGAGGGGGCTCGCCCTGGGCAGGTGGGGCCGCGGGGGCTGGCGCAGGGCCGGGCACGGGGCCTGGGGGCTGCTGGTAGTAGTGTGAGTAGTAGGCGGCCCAGGCGGCGTTGGGGTCTGCGGCGGCTGCAGCTTTATCTGTGGGAGGGCGGCGTGGGCTGAGGGGCGGTGCGGGAGGCCAGCCCTGCCCTCCCCACCCGGGCAGCCACGCCCTGCCCTGCCCCTCATCCGGGCAGCCTACTTACTTGGGTCGTGAGGAGCAGGTGGCTGCCACTGGGGGTAGGTATTGCCCCAGCCCTGGGGTGGGTACTGGTGAGGAGGCGGCCCCCCCGCACTGCAGGACAGAGAAGGGGCGACGGGTGAGCCGGGACTGTCGCTCCACGGGGGCAGGCCCGGCTGGCAGGAAAGGGGCCCAGGCCCAGCCAGCCACAGGCTCCTCGCCCAGGAAAAGGCGAGACGATCAATGCCAAAAGAGACACACTGTGCTGCTCTGGGATGTGAAAGTCCCCCAAATACAACGTCCATGAGTTTGCCCATTAGGTGGGAGACTATAGTCAACATCTGTGCTGTCTATGGAACAGGAGGCTGGGCTGGGCCGTGCCTAGGGCCGAGACTATTAGCACATCTTGATGTGAGTGAAAACGGGGCCCGTGGCTCTTCCTGCCAGCACAGCAGCCCCTGAGCCCCAAATCCCAGGAGACGGAGACCAATACTCACTGCGGGGGAGCCCCAGGTGGCCCCTGGTTGAAAGGCCCGGGGTTGAAGGGCCCCATGGGGCCGGCAGGGCCTGGTCCTCCTGGGCCTGGTCCAACTGGGCAGAGGGGGCCCTGGAGAAAGGAGAAGCAGATGGTCAGTGGAAGGAAGGGGGGGCGGTTGAGAAACAGGAGCCGGGTCCAGGCTCTAAGAAGCCCTCCCGAGCCCACCTCAATCTTTTCCTCAATGAGCTGCTTGGCGTGGTCAATCTGTTGGGGTGAGCCCCGGATGATGAACAATTTGAAATTGGGGTCCCCGTTGGGTGGCAGCTGCCGGGAGATCTCCACAAAGGCGCCTGTCTGCTGGTTTATGGCTTTCACATTTTCGCCACCTGTGGGAGCCACAGGCAGTGAAGGGCGGGCAGGAGAGGGCAGGAGAGGAGCGGAGTGCATGTGGGGCGCAGGTGGGGCCTACTCACCTCGGCCGATGACCAGCCCACACTTGTGAGTGGGGATGGAGAAGGTCATCTCTCCACCAGGGGGGCCCCAGTTGCCTTGGCCCCTTCCTCGCCCCCGACCCCCCGGGGGCATGCCAGGACCCCCTGGAGGGCCTGGGGGTCCACTCTGCAAGACAGGGAGGAGAGGGAGTGAACACAGAAATCCAGCCTGGCCCCTGGACTCCTCTGGGGCCGGGCCAGCCCCCCCTCTGCACCCACCAGCTGTTGGCCGCACACCCCAGTGTCACCTACCCTGAGGCTCTGGAGGAGATCATTGATGATCCGTGCTGCGTGCTCACACCGGTCTGGGGGCCCCATTATGTGAGCTATCTTCTCGGGACCTGTCCCATCATCTGAAGCCGGCACCCACAGAACAGAGATAGATTTTAAGGAAAAGCACAACACCAAGCCCCCATAACACCGCCTCTGCGAGGTAGACATCATGCCAAGCCAGGTGTCAGAAATATCTCGGGCTCAAACTGCCGCTCACCACACTCCCAAGTATTGAGGAGCGGGCGGGAAATGCCGGTGGGCCCACATTTCCAGATGAGAAAACCGACCACTTAGGACAGGGTGGCAGCCGAGGCTTCTTCCTGTTTGGGGCACCCCAGGACTAATAGGTGCCTTTTACTGAGCTAAAAAGGACAATAGAACAGAGCAATCCTTCCTCCCCACAGGCCTGCCACTTGGGAGACTGAGCTGGGGCAGTGATCTGATCTGGTCCAGGCTGCCCCCAGTCAGGATGGGCTACGTGGTAGGGAAGAGGAAAAGGGACAGATCTGGTGACAGAAGACATCACCTTTGGACTTAGGAAATTTGTTGGGAAGTGTGCCCCTCAGCAACTCTCTCACATGGCTGTGCCCTCTTCCACTGTGGCGAAGGAGGCACCACAAGGAGGTCCCAAACTCAACAAGGTTCACACCGCAGTGCCAAGGCATCTCAGCGGACTCTCGGAAGAATCCCTAGGACACAGCTGGTGGCACAGTCACCCTTCAGCCAACTCATCTGTTCGGCGAAGCCCCTGACCTTGCTTAAACTGTATCCGCACGCCAGCATCATTCTGGATCTTCTTGATCATCTCTCCGCTCCGGCCAATAACCACCCCGACAGAATGTCTGGGCACCGGCACCTGAGGGAGGGGTGGGGGAGGGTCCAGCTGGGTCCCGTCCCCGCAGCTGTGGCGCCCTCCACCCACCACACCCAGCCCATGGCCCTCCATTATCGGGGGAGGCCTGCACTCACGTCAATGCCCCCACCAATCCGGGATCCGTACTCGTTCCGGTCCCCAAAGCCACCCTGGTCACGCTCCCGGAGGATGTCCATCACCATCTCGCAGGCTTGCTGCAAACACACAGGGCACGCTCTACTCCAACACCGTTCCCCCGGCATCCCACCACCCAAGGGCCCACGGGCCGAGGCTGAGCCCATCAGCGCCCCGCTGAGCTCCTGCCCTGCTGTCCCGAGAGGGAGGAGGAAGGATGGCCAGCAACCCCCATTTTCCAGATAGGAAAATGAAAGATCAGAGTTTAGGCCTCTTACTTGTGTCCAGCACTGGGAGGGACAGCTCAGCATGAGAGCGCTCTTGAATACTGCTTCCCCTTTCAATCAAATCCCGAGCCCCATCTGTCGCTCACTTCTCCAGGTGCCCCAACACCCCGGGGTTCTCACCTGCACTTTGTAAGGATCCCCAATGATGCGAAGAGGCTTGTCCACGTTCGTGTTCTGGGAGCCATCTTGAATTAAAATCATCTTCACTCCAGCTCGTTCCTTCACAACCAATGTGGATAGTCAGTGCTGGGCTTTCAAAGGACTTTCTGGGGCTAGTGCACGTGGGTGGGGCAGATATGACCACAAGGGTAAGAGGCTCTGGCAAAGCAGCCGGCGGGGTATGCACACGCAGATGCAGGAAGGAGACTTTCCTGGGACAGGAAGAGCTTCCGTCCCAGCCCTCACCTGCAGCTGCTTAATGGTCTCGCCACCTTTGCCGATGACCAGGCCAGCCTTCCCTGCGGGGATCATGATCTCCTGTACAGTGCCGTTCTGGCCCCCGTTGGCATTGTCGTGGAACTGTCCTGGGGGGCCCCCACGACCCCGAGAGACGATGTCATCCAGCATCATCTTTGCTTTCCTGGGAAGGAGAAGACTGGGACTGAGACACCTGAGAGAGTACTGGCCTGACAGCCCCGTCCAGCTCAAAGGGAAGAAGGTGAGTCCGACACGCGTGTCTGGCAAATGACGACAAGGAAGAGGGTCCATCCCCGGGGCTAGGGCTGGGGCCATTCGGGTTGTTTTCCCAGATCTTCGGCGTCAGGGGAATCGAAAATCAGTACAGTCCCCGGCGAGGGCGACGCCCCCAACTTTCCAAAGGATGGAGAGACCTTCTGCTTGCTCCCCTCATCACAAGGGCCCAGCAAGGGACTTACTGGACAGACTCCGGGGCTCCTGTCAAGGATACGCTGCGCTCTGGTAGGCCACCGCTGTCTGGAGAAAAGAGACAGGGTCAATGCCTTTCTAAGTCTGTGGACACCGGAGAAAGGCTTTCTATGGAGATGACGAAAGTTGCACTACCAGTGGCCACTTCTGCCACCATTCAGTGGCCTGACAAACCACTACCTTGCCAAACACCCGGGAGGCTGCTCTATGCAAGACCAAGGTCAGGAAGCTCACAGTCCAGGAAAGGCGACAGATCTTTCAGGGACAAAGACGAGATAGAAGGAGATGTCCTGAACCTAGGCCACTTCTGCCACCGTTGAGGACCACACATGCACTCTCCACGGCCTATGAAGCCCACTACGTTAGAGCAAGTCCTCAGACACCCCTGCACAGCAGTCCTTGCCTGGCCTTCAAATCTAGGCCTGGCCTCAAAGTCGTTCCCTTGAAGGCACCTCCCTGCTTCACACGTTCTCACTGATTTTCCACCAGGTGCTTAGTTCAGATGGTGACTTAACTAATCGCTTAGAGCAGGATCTAAAACAAGACTTTTTTTTTTTTTTTTTTTTTAAAGTAGGCTCCAAACCCAGCATGGAGCCCAATGCAGGGCTTGTACTCCCGACCCTGAGATCAAGACCTGAGCTAAGATCAAGAGTCAGACGCTTTATCAACGGAGCCACCCAGGCACCCCTAGAACAAGACTTCCTATATTCAATTTTCAACTCTCCACCTCAGCCCTCCCCCTGCAAGCGTACAATGGAAGAAACCAAAGTTGCAGCCACACCGCAGGGCACTGTGCTGTACGAGTGGAGACCCTGCCCTGAGCCCAGCACACAGAAAGCACTCGGTGAACACCAACCCATCTCACTTCTGTCCTGTCGGAGTCCAGCCCAACCCCCCACGCACACAAGTGACACAAGTCTG